CTAATCTCCACAGTTCACTTTGTTCTTCAGTTCACATATTTTCCAACTCCTGCTTCTAAATCTTTCTCTAGTATATACCTTGTTCCCTTCTTGAGAAAAATAGTCCTTTGCATGAACCTTACTGCAAAATAATGCATATGCTTTACTATATAGAAAGGGCAGGAGAAATCAAGAACTCAAAGCAGCATTTTCCGGTTTGGTTGCCTATAGTGGTGACTGTGCAGGCACCCACACAGCCATTGTGGATGGAGGCACTGAGAACAGCAGTTGTCCCATACAATTCCTGATAGTGGACTGAAGTTAAGTATCCTTCATGTCATTGTCAGACACCAAATAACTCAAATAAAGAGAGTTGAATTTATTTCATCCATTTCAACGGCAGCGTCAGAGTGTGTGGAAGACCTGTCTCTTGTTTCTCCAGTTCAACCTTCTCCTGGCTGGATCATGCTGGTACATCTTAGTCCTGCAAGATGATTATTAGCTCCCACCTTTGAGTGCCTCAGACACCCACACAGCAGCCTTTGTCTAATTTTGCTCAGCTCAGCCAAACATGTCAGCAGTCTGAATGATGGCATTTAACAATCAGCTAATGGGCGTCAGGGCCACTGCCACTCACTTTTAAAATTTCCTATCATGGTGCTCTGGCTTCAAGCACAGGTTCTGCAAGGCAGAATACCTCTAAGAGGCTGTTCTGTTTCAGCAGGATGCATGCCAAGGGAAAGACTCCATGGAGATATCCATTTCTCTACACCTCCATCTGCAGTTATCATTTAAGCACATTTTAAGATGTGCCCTTCCCTTTAGTTCTTCTAAAGAATAGCCTCATTGATCCTATTTCAGAACAACACATCTCCATGGAAGGGAGTTGTTTGCCTGCCAAACCACACAGCATCAGCAACCACTTTTGTGCTCATAAAGCTCCACCTGCTTAAGTGCACTCCATCAGTTGGTTGCCCAAGAGAGAGTGTAAAATAGGTCTGTGTTCTTGAGAAATTACTCTTCTACGTTTTTTTCTCTATACAGCTAAATATTGTAACTGCATTTTAAGTCTAAATATTTTGGTAGAGTCTTTTAACAGGTTAACAGATTTTAAATACCAGCTCTACTTCCATCCAATGTATTGATCACATTTTCAAGTGAGTCATGGTGTTTGCTATCCCACTCCAAATACCTTTCCCTTTGACATTAGACACAATTATACTATATATCTATGTATTTTCCCCTTCTCCAAATACAATCCTTACATTAATTTAACCTCTATGTTTATGTATTTTATTGAATTTTTGGAGATTAGATTCATTTTCAGGATTTGATTTGTTGCAGTGACTTTGGGCTGGCTGCCCAACTTATGGCTGCTACTGTTGGATGATGGCCTGACTGTTAAATATTTCCCTGCTGAAACTGCATTAGCACAAAACAAATTTTGTTATAATGGCATTAAGTAAAGACCATAGAAACCTGCCCAGCATTAGAAGTTTTTTCTTGGCATCTGTTTTATGCTTTTTCCTCACGTCATCTAAATCAAGAATGAGGTATCATTTAATATTTTACCAGCACAGAAATAAACAGGCCTTCTAATTTCCTTGATGTAAATATAAAAATATCAGCATGGAAATAATTGCCAAATCACAGACATTATTCTGCAATCTTTACAAATTCAGTCTTCCAAATAGGACATGTTTAAGTGCAAAAAATCTGAATTGCATAGGGCTAGGGCTCACATTGTCACCATGCTTATTTTACAGGGCATAACTGTTCTTATTTCCTTATCCCCAGACAAGCTTTGATACTTATCAAAGGTTTTTTTTTTTTAATGCTTATTACTTATCTTTACAAATACTGTAATGTTTAGTCAAGATTCCTTTCTTGTCAAGAAAGGAGTCAACAAAACTAGTCAAGACCAAGATGAATCATCTTGAGGTGAGAGTATGGAGCAAGAAAATAGATATCTAACTGAGAACGAATACCCTATAGGTTCAATGTTATCAAAGCTGAAGGGCCAACAACATGTATTTGGTCGATTATATCACAACTATGCAATTATGCTAATATTGCAATGTCATCGCTCTTGAAAAATTTGCTTTTCTTTGCTAATTTAGGAAGATCAATTATGAATTAATATAGTTTGGTTTCATTGGTGATGTCATTGTTGTGTCGTGGAGCAACAGGAAAAGGGTTAATTCTTTAGCTTCCACTGTTCAAAAGGCTGCTTCCTCAGAGCTGCCCCTTTTCCTTTAAGCTATATAAATGTGGAAAATAAACCATTATTTTTTCCAGCAGAATTTGTTTAAAGAAATAACTGCAGAGGTGCTGATTTAACACTGAAAGTGCAAACAGCTAGAGTTGGAGAAAGCCCTATATATCCTACCCTCTATTACATTAATCCAATTCCATTTTAGCTAAGGGCAGCCTGATGTTTATTATCCTTCAGGAAGTTAGGGCTTGCTTGCCAAATATATGCTTTTGTGGTAGTTATTATGCTTCCAAATATTTCTTCAAAGCCTCCCAGTGTATTTATTTAACTGAATTATATTAATATATATATATGTAGTTAAAGTACCATTGATATGAAAACTCTCACTGCAATTTAATGACGAAGTATGAAAGAAGAGGTGAGATAATAAAGTTATGGCAAATTTATTTGATGACTTTCAATAGAACTTTTTTTTCTCAGCTGCAGACAAGTAAAGTCAATGTGTTAAGCTATGAATTTGAACTCAGAAAGAGGAGTCTGACCTTGGCATGTACAGAGTTGCCTAGCATTTTCTTGTGTGTTGAACATTCTTGTTTTAAACAGGGGGTTTATTACCTGCTCCTGCACAACATACAGCCTAGCCTTTTCTATTATCTTTGCTCAGGAGGGCTTGGCCTGCAGTCCAAACCCTAATTCTACCCTAGAGCAGAGAGTTTTGCATATGTTTTTGTGCAGCACACCCCACTCAGTTAACAGTTGCAAGACTTTTCAGTTACTCAAAAGCACAACATGGTAAAAATACAGCAGTCCTGGCCTCATCCAGAGCTCCACTGTGCTTGACACTGTACAAACAGACAGGGAAAACTTGCAACCTAAGCACCTAGAGCAGAAAAGTACCAAAAGGAACAAAGTTTGAAGTGCGCAATTACCCATAAGGAGGAAGGGAAAAATGAAGGTATTTAGCAGCCCTGCCAGCCAACCCAGTCTCCACCACCAGACCGCATTGCCTACCTAAAATCTCACACAGGAGATCTCCATTACTCACCTTCTGATGTCAGAAGGCAACAAAATCATGAAACCAGACCACTCAAATCCCAACCCATCCTTCAAGGGGCTTTGTTTGTTACAAAATTGCTTCTAAGAGCTATCTGAGCATAGCTCTGCTATCTATGCAGCTCTGGCTAGGCCTAATAATGCATTGAGTTTCCCTAAGTATCCCGAATCATAAATAGTCCCATCCCAAGTAGCAAACTCCACTTCTTCAATTTCACAAAGATAAAAAATCTGCTGGAACCGAGCAGTGAATACTTTCATATCTGAAAAGTATTTTCTCCAAACAATGTTTTAAGACGATGAGATATCAAAATATTTATACCTGGTTCCCATTGTTGTCTATGTTTGCATGTGTTTGGCTTCTTGGGTGTGCTGTAAAATAACTTATATTTTTTATTTGTTTGTGATTCCTTCTATAGGAGTTCTCATCTAAGCATCACAGCACTTTTAGAACTAACCTAGTGAAGAAGTATACAAGGATACATCAGAGCTGTCCTCATCCTGACATCCAAATTGCATAAGGAGTCTAGTATGTGGAAACAGCTAATGATCCAATCAGCAAAAGAACATATTACAGATTGCAATTCTAATAGTTAAGCTCTAGATGCAGCTCTATCATGTAATTATACAGTTGGAGAAGTTGAATATTTTTATATGATTGCTTTTTTTTGTTACTGTACCCTCTTGCAACAATCGCTTTACCATTTAAAATCCTGGTGACTTTCAGCAGACAGAACTTTTAATGAATGTTACCCAACAGGGTGGTCTTCAGTGAGAAAAGCAGGAAGGTGGCAATGAGGAAAAAAAAATAAAAGTAAGCTACAAATAGGTACAAAGGGACTGCAAGTCATGGGAACTCTTTGCATTCATCGTTAACGTGACTTTGGCAAGTTGTTTTCGTGTTTTTCATCAGCTAATGCAATCTGTATATGATATTGCCCCCCAGCAGGTTAGCAGACAAGGAAGCTGAAATGACAATAAACAATTAGTTAACATCCCCTTGCTAGGCCTTCCTTGAATGTATAGCTTCTGTATAATTTGAATTTTTACCCTTCAAGAGATGAAGCAAAAGTCTGCTTCCACTGCCAGCAAAATCAGTATTAGGGAATAGCCAGCACAGCATGGTTATACCTCTTTAGCCATATACTCACTTGTTTATGCCATGTTATGCACTGTACAGTCCCAAGAGCACTAAAAATAAATATAATCAGCTGTGAAACAAATAAAATGTCAGGAGCAAAACTGCAATTGCTGGTCCCAACATACATTACAAGTTGCATCTAATGGAAAGGACTGTCTGTCAGGGAGGCTTTGAAACACATTTTAAGCTTGGGGTTTCAAACATATCTCAAAAGAACTGTAAAACTTAAGTGAGTTCTAGTTTCTACTTCTTGTGCCATCCTCCCATTCTCAGTGCTTGTTTTGGAGGGGCAGACAGCAGCAGCACCCAAAACAGTCTGGGAGCAGCACTCACACACCCCTTCTGCTATCCCATCGGGCTGTAGAGTAACCCCTGGTTTTGGTCTGTGCAGCTACCAGAGGTGCCTTATCACCCACATGTCTCTGCTGGGCTCTGCTTTTTGAGATTTCCTTCTCAACAGCCCATCAAAACTTACTCAGCATAGTGGACAAGCAATAGATCATAACCATTCAAGTGGCTGGTCCCACGTCCTTACAGAAACATCTGCCATGGCCCTTCTTGCTATTTATGAAATTGGGAGCCAAAGACATACAAGAAAACAAAGTGCTGGAATTAATAGTGAATAGTTATTTAATAGTGAACTTTTGTCATCCACTTTCTAAACAGGCAGTGTTATTTCAAAGCAAAAAACAAAAACAAAACCAGAAACAAAGTAATTATCAAAATCATACTTATAGAATAACTTAAATAAACTTTTCTTTTTGAAGATGTTATAAATACAAGATAAATAAAACATATTGTGTTATGCTGGACATTATCCATTAACAGTTCATATCTAAACAGGCAATGTTATTTCAAAGCAAAACAAAACAAAACAAAACAAAAAGAAATAAATTCGAGATCAAAACCATGCACTTAGAATAACTTAAATTGCCATCTTCCTTTTGAAGATAATTAAAGATAAATAAAACATTACATTGCATTATGCTGGACTTTCTCCATAAACAGTTCAAATCCAATAGTTTTTCCATTAAGTATTCAGATAATCAAAATACATCAGCTAAACTACTCTGGCACTGACTGGTTCTTTAGAGGAATAAGATGTCTGGCTGAAAAGTAAAGAGATTTTACTGAACCTATAGAAATGAAATTCATATCTTGATGCATACTTAATCCTCTGTTCCTTAGGGAATGCTTTCTCTCCCTTGATCTCTCTTGGACATAACCTACGGCAAATTGGTTTTACCTGAGCAGGGCTGGAAGCTATTGGTACCACTTCTTAGTTTAGCTAAGGGACTGAGCAGCTCTGGAAAACATTAGGGATCATCCACAGAGCCAACACCAGCCTGACCTAGACCGCATTCCTGAGTAAACTGCCCAAAGAGTTTTTCTTTGCTCCTATAGAGGAACACACTTGCTCCATTCACCCCAGAGACAGCCCACCATCAGCTTCCACAGGCTGAAAAGACTTCTTCCACATGAAGAGATTTCTGCTGTAGAGAAGAAATCCATCTAGGTGAACAACACAGAGGCTGTGCTGGCAGTCATATGCAGACGCTCACCAAGTAGTTCCTACACGTTCTGCTTTAGGCTAGTGGTCACTATGTCACTGATTGACATAGCACCCAGAGATCCCACTTCATAGCACTGCATGTACCAGAAAAGCAAAACGTACCTGTGACTTAGAGAGCTCACAGACTAGGATAATGTAATAAATAGCAGTTTTTCTCTGCAACACAGTAAGACTCTATTAAGTGGAGCTGCTTCCTCTCTTCATGTCACATTGTAGAACCTCAATGTCATAAAAGAACATAACTGTAACTCATAATATTTAACATTGACTGGACAGGCAAAGAAAGCAAACTTTAGTTCACTGCATTAGCCATCAGTTTTTGTTTAAGGAACTCATATGGAAAATCACTTTCATTCTGGTCTTTCTCATTAATACCATTCTTCTAAAAATTACTAGAAAACATTTCAATAATGTACACTCTAAAATAACTGAGCAACTTTGACTATCAGCCCCATCAAAACTTGAACATGAAGTCAGTCAACATTTGCATCTGTTTTTCTGAGAATTCTTTTTCAGAATTTCTTCTCACTAAAATACTGCCAACAGTAATTATTTTATGTCTTATCTTATTTAGTGTCTACCCTAAAAACCTAGGAACCTTGCTTAAGTTCCTGTAGGCAAGTAATTAAAACAGAATCTTAGTTTCCCTTTGCAGAGCTTCTAGGTCTTGTATTTGCAGCTAAAGGCCTGAAAACATGAATCGCATCAACTTAAAGAAGGCAAATAAAAAAACACTCAAAGGCACTTCTTAACAAAATTTTCAGGCTGTTATGACAAGTGTATAATATGATGAGAAGAGGCAGGAATTTGACTCATGATTTCTAAATCCTTGGGGTTCACATGCAAGGATTTGTTTTCACCTTCCTTTTCCTCTTCTGCTTTTCTACTCTTGCACTTTGCATGAGGAACGAAGAGGTCCAAATTTCTGGTAGAAATCATCTTCAGCACGAATCAGGGCTTCCTCGTCTATGTAGACAGCTGGTCTCCGGGAAGCCAAGAAGTACTGCACCTTCCGTATGTTCCATCCCATCACGTACTTCAGCCAGCCACTGACAGCAGCCGTAGACCTGCCAACGCCAGCGTTGCAGTGAACATAGACGGTGTGTCCATTCTCCAGCAGCCCATGCAATAGGCAGACAGCTTGTGGCAACATCTGTATTCTTCCTAAGGATAAAAACAAGGCACAGTCACAAGTATTTGAGAAAGTTATTTTCATGGTTGAGATTTTATCAGTATAGCCTGATTCACTGTGAGTCACAAGGGCAAACCTGATGTATTTATTATTTTCTTTCAAATGACCTTCTATTTTAACCTTCATTTCTTCTTGCAATGTAGATTTGGATCACACAAAATCTGTAAAATGCCCCAAGTCTTCTCTAAATATACACCCTGATTAATGCTGGATGTGTGTGGCATATTCATTTTCACAGGGACTGAGATAAGGCAGCAAATTACATCAAGCAGCACGTCTTATATATCATTAAAGTTAGCAAGCAAAAATAAAATACTTTTTACCACCAGTTTGTGTATCTACCTACATACTGCTGCTTTCCAAAACCTGGTAATGAAGACCATAATGCCAATAGTAAGGGAGGGAGGGAGAACAAAGGATAGTTTTCCTGTACTCCTTAACATTTTATGATATAATCGTGTACTAAGGATATGGTAAAAAAAATGAAAAACAACCTTTCTGACTCCCAATACTGTATTTCTTGATAATACCACATTTCCTTATACCTCTCCCTACTACTCTGCAAATTGAAGCTGCAAACATCAAAGTTTAACTTTTCCACATGGCACAGATGAGCACTGACATTAAGTCCTTTCAAATCCCTGTCTTAAGGTCTCCTGTCCTCTCTCTCCTGTCCTTCCTGATATCCTATTACAGATATGACAGTTCCCTATTTGTGGCAGTGATACTTCACTCTATTGGAAGCATTCTGTTCAGCTGGTAGACTACTCACTCAAAAACATGCACGCTTCCTAGACTACTGGCTAAAACCAAGATTTTGGACTAAGCATTCTAATGTAGAAATTAAAAAGATTATGTTATGACAGAATGCACCATGGGTGTCCTAAATAATTAATAATTAATAATTATATAAATCACATAATCATAGAATCATAAAAAGTCCTGAGCTGGAAGGGACCCACAAGTATCATCGAGTCCAACTCCTGGCTCCACATAGGATCACCCAAAAATAAGACCATGCATCTGAGAGCACTGTCTACACACTTCTTGAACTCGGTCTAGCAGGTTTGGTACTGTGACCACTTCCCTGAGGAGCCTGTTCCACTGCCTGACCACCCTCTCAGTGAAGAACTTTTTCCTGACACCCAATCTGAACCTCCCCTGTCACAGCTCCATGCCATTTCCTTGTTTCCTATCTCTGGTCACCACAGAAAATAGATCAGCATCTGCACCTTCACTCCCCTTGTGAGAAAGCTGTAGGCAGCCATTAGGCCCACCCTCAGCCTCCCCTTTCCTGGACTGTACAAACCAAGGGACCTCAGCCACTCCTTATACATCTCCTCTAGACCGTTTACTATCTTCATAGCCTTCCTTTGGACATGCTCGTTTCATGTTCTTCTTATATTGTGGTGCCCAAAACTGCACACAGTGCTCAAGGTGAGACCACACCTGTGTAGGGTAGGGCTGGACAGTCACTTCCCTCAACCAGTTAGTAATGCCATGCTTGATGCATCCCAGGATATGGTTGGCCCTTTTGGCTGCCAGGGCACACTGTTGACTCATATACATTTTGCCATCAACCAGAAGCCTCAGATTCCTTTCCACGGGGCTGCTCTCCAGCCTCTCAACCCCTAGGCAGTATGTAGAGCCAGGGCTGCCCCATCCCAGGTGCAGAATCCAGCATTTGTTCTTCTTAAACTTCATATGGTTGGTGATTGCCCAGCCCTCTAATTTGTTAAGACCTTTCTGCAGGGCCTCTCTACCTTCAACAGAGTCAACAGGTCCTCCCAGTTTAGTGTAATCTCCAAATTTATTATACCTTTAAGTCCTGCATCCAAATCACTTATGAAAACTTTAAAGAGAACTGGCCCAGTTCACATCTGGCAAGTTGAAGCCACCCATAAAGACAAGAGTGGATGATCTAGAGGTATCTCTTAGTTCCTCAAAGAACAATTCATTGGTGTCATCATACTGGCTGGGTGGATGATAGTAGACTACCACAATGACCTCCACATTATTTGCTTGTCTCTTAATACTTACCCAGAGACATTCAACCCTGTCATTACCAGATACCAGCTCCATACAGCCCAGCACCTCCATTACATGCAGCAGCACCCCCCTGCTTCGTGTGCCCTGCTTGCCCCTGCTGAAGAGCCTGTAATCATCCATCATAACAAACCAGACACAAGACTTTTCTTCCCATCATTATGCCAATGATGTCACAGAATCACAGAATCATCTAGGTTGGAAGAGACCTCCAAGATCACTGAGTCCAACCTCTGACCTAACACTAACAAATCCTCCACTACACCATATCACTAAGCTCTACATCTAAACATCTTTTAAAGACCTCCAGGGATGATGACTCAACCACTTCCCTGGGCAGCCTATTCCAATGCCTAACAACCCTCTGAGACTGAGCCAAGGCTTCTAGCTTTTCATACTTGTTCCTCATGTTGTGTGTATTTGTGTAGAAACTTTCCAAATGTGCTTTCATTATACCCAGCACCTCATGGAGCTCACCAAAGGATATCACTAGCATCCAGTCCCTCAAATTTTGTCATGCTGTCCCTTAGCTTATCACTGGAAAGCCTGGTTTTATCCCTTTACTCCTTTAAATCTAGTTTAAAGCTCTATCAATCAGCCCTAGCTCCTGTGCAAAAATCTTTCTCCCTTTCTCTGAGAAAGGTGCAACGCATCAGGCTCCAGTTGGCCTGATGTTGTGTAGAACATCCCACGATCAATAAATCCAAAATTCTGCTGATAACATTAGCCTCAGAGCCACATTTTGAACAGCTAGGTCTGCCTGTTCTTCTCAATATTGTTTCCTGCTACTGGAAAAACAGAATAACACACTACCTGTGCCCCTAATCTTTTAACCAATTGCCCCAAGGTCCTGAAGTCCTTTTTGTTTGCCCTTGGATTTCTCTTTGCTATTTCATCACTGCCAACATGAAAAACAAATAATGGATAATAATTACAGGGCTGTACCAGGCTAGTGAGCTTTCTAGTAACATCTTTTACTTGGTCCACAGGGAGGCAACAGACTTCCCTATGGGTTGAGTGCAGTCAGCATATCAGGCCCCCTTTTCCCCTCAGAAGGGAGTCACCATTGACAACAACCCTTCTTTTTTTCATGATGAAGGTGACTGCAATATAGGGGATAGGCTGACTTGCTTAGGTGACCCCTCTAACCTGAACAGACCTTCGTCCACATCACTTGCCTGCCCATCAAATACCAGAGCCTCACACCTGTTGTGTAAGGGCACCTAAGAAGGTGAGGTAGGCAGGGAAGGGATTTGCCTGCTGCGCCAAACGGAAACCTGCTTAAATTCCCTGCCATCCCTTAGGTCCCCTCCTACCTGGTGGAAAGATGGTATGGGATCCTTTGTTTCTTGCATTGGAAAGCACATTTCACCAGTCGATCTCCCCTGACTCCCTGATGCTCCTCAGCATGCCCACCTCCTCCCAAAGGTCTGTCACCAGCCTAAGCCATTCTTCTACATGGTGTACCTCCCACAGGTGTACTCATTGTTGCCATCAGACACTGTCAGAAAACTTGGGCACATTGTGCAGCCTGAGACCTGTGTAGCCACACGTTCCCTTGGGTGCTCTGTCTGGGTAGCTGTGTTGGTTCCTGTGGCTAGAGAGGCCACAAGGGACATGGAGGACACAACTTTCTGTTGGGTAGATGCCATGACTGGAGCTCCACACAAGTGGGTTGCAGCTGCCCTGGTGGCCGCCATTACTCTTGGCCCTCCCTGGTCTCCACACTCCCTTGGAGTTTTCCCAGCTCAGGAAACCTGCCTGTGCGCTGTGACCCTCTGCTCCACTGCAGAACATGCCTGCACCAGAGCTGGTGGTCTCGGCAAGAAATGACTGTAAAGACTCATCAGACTGGGATACTATAGATAAAGAGAAATGATTTGCTAGGGAAAAGGAGCGGCTGAGCCAGACACACAGCACTGCCTCACCGTTTTTAACCAGCAAGGATGGCAAGCTGTCCTGCTGTGCAAGCTTGCAATCTTCCACCTACACAGCACATTTTCATTATACAGGCTGAATTCAAACTGAAAGCAACAACAGTCAAGCAGTTATCAATGTCGTCTGGCTTTAAACTCAAATATACATATACTGCTGATATGAAGTACTTTAGATACCAGAAAATACGAATAAAACTGAAAATGCACATTGGGCTCTAGCTATATTTACACAGGAAAAAAAAAAAAAAAAAAAAAAAAAGCAGCCATGAAAGCAACAGAAGCAACAGATTAGTAACTAACAGATTTTGTTACTATTAAGTTAGCCGCAAGATTGGTCTGAGCATTACCTTCAGTGCTCATATCTGGGGTTGGCATCCAGACATAGGCAAGACCTTCTTCTTTGTATAGTTTCATGAGTATTTCAGGGCTCATGGGTTCTGGGTAGCGGTTGCAGCCCCAGGAATTCTGAACAATGTCCCACTCAGTCTGGAAGTTCATCACCGCTGTAACACCCAGCTCGTGTTTTAGCTTGACAGTCACATGCTCCAGCTGCCGAGGGCAACTTCCCAGCCAGATGTTTGGCAGAATTCTAGCACAGAGAAGATATTGAAGTAGGTTTGATTAAAATATCTAAATGCAGAAACTGCCAAATTAAGTGGTGTTCCAGCTCAAAACCTGCTTTGCACCATCGCATGAATACTCTAAAGTACAACATTTCCATGTCATACAGTAAGCAATTTCCTAATTTATTACTGTTTAGTTTGTAATGTTTGATGCTGGGGATCAAGCTCCTAACGTACCACAAAGAGCCAGAGAGTCTGAGAAAAAATCAGAGCATAATTAGTAGCACAGGTCTCCAAGGCATCCATCATTAAGCCTGCAGTGGATACTTACTAACATCACAGATTAGAATAAGAAAACTCTGAAGATTTGTGCAATTTGCACAAAAGAAAAAGACACAGAAGATTCACATGATCCAAATCTGAATTATACTAGTAAAATGTCAAAAACATAGGACTCTCTTCCAGCTTTGTAGCTGCTGGTATGAGGACAGTAAACAGGGAGAAAAACACACACACACAAGAACAACTTTAACCACCCTTCCATGAGAAAATTAAAAAATGAATTACTAATTTTATTTTCATTTTCTTCTTCACTTGTGGAGTAGTAGGAATCAAATGCAGAATTACAGTACATGTCTAGCTTCCCTCAGGGTTTGAAGAACAAGAAATTTTGTCAAGAAAACTCAAGAGATATGTGTAGGGCATATAAACATCTGCTTTTTTGGTACTTCTCCAAATCAAACTTCAAGACTTCTATAGTTTCCCCGTTAATAATAATCATAAAATTATCCTATGTCCCAACAGATTTTTATATAAACTGAATATTAAGAGCCTTGTTTTCAATTGAGATATTTAATCTGCACATGGTTAAACTGATGTTATCTAAAATAGATTTGAATCTATTTTGAACATATAATCCATAAACTACACCAAATACACTCACAGTAGGGTATCCAATCTTGCAAACTTTATTAACTGCAAAAAAACTGAATGCAAGCTACAACAAAAGCAAGATGCTCAAAAATAAAATATCTGCCATATATTTCTGATACTTTTTTTTTTTTCCCAATTTTAATTTCAGGAAAACTTATTCTGAGGAATAGTTACTCATATAAACAGACCTTAATCAGGTAGCTATTTCCATTTGATAGGACTATGACAGAAGTAAGTACTAAGTAGCATTTAGCTAAGCTGTGCAATTGGTAATTATTAAATTCTGCAATGTTACTAAGACTGTGGAAGACTAAGACTCTGTTACTAAGACTGTGAAAACCAGAAACTCACTCTATGAAACACTTTCTATTATTATTGTTTACTGTATTTCAGCTGCATCCACAATGAGCAGCATACCAACTACCCAAACACAGCCATTGGTCCCAACAGCCCCTACTCCAGTGAGAAAAAGAACTTGATATCAGGATAGAGTAACTGAGTACCAACTTTCTGGATCGCAGACGATGAATGATAACCCGAGAATTTAGACAAAAATAGCAAATAACCATTTCAACTGTGCTGCATGAAAGAAAAAATGGCAATATCACTAATGCCTTGTGACAATATGAGGATAGTCTTTTAAGAACAAGAATGTTAGTATCGTTCCATCAAAGGCTTTCCTAGAGACTCATACATATGTAATTCTCTTGATATTTTGGGAAACATCTAATACATCTTATAAGTTACCTTGACAGGAGACAAAAAGCATGTTTTCTAGCATTTGATTGAATTAGGAGTGACTAAAGCATTCTTGAGATAAATAAAATCCTGGGTAGTACTCTTGCTTACAGATAAAGCAATGCCTTACAATTTTCTCCCTAGTGATTACTGAATGGGAAAACATTACAGATGAACTATCTGCAAGACCACTGGGATATAGACTTTTTTTTTTTTTTTCGGTAGTGCAACAAGTCTGGTCCATGAGAAAAACTTTTTTATTTAACAATAATAGTCACATATTTACTGAGCAACTGATGGTTTATCAAGTTTTTATCACCGTTTTCCCCTGCAGTTAGCCAGATCAGTGGTAATATTCAGAAAATGACCACAACAACAATCGATATATCCCTCTATTTGGACCAACTCTTGTGTACTAGTCTTCTGATCACATCCTAGAGTTTGGCTTTTGAAAGGATAAAGATACAGCATTGATCTTGGTCTTCGAGCTCCTTACTTACTAATGACTCTAAAGTCTTGGGCTTGCTGGATGTAGCTTTACTGCTCTTTTTCTGGAAAACAGTTCCTGCAAAGAACAGGAGTGCACAGCTGCTCTATTGGCCAGTTTATATAAAAGTTCTGGGATAATCCCACTGTAGAGTACTTGTATTTCTATTTGGCTTCATCTGGTTCATATCTTGACTTTGTCTTACATGAGAAGGAAAGAAGGAAAAGGTCAGTGCAAATGCAAGCACAGTAACTGATAAAGAGTTTAGCAGCTATATTTCATATAAGGACTTTTGTTAGCCCTGCTGAGGGCTTGACTGTGTTAAGGACCAGCAAACATACCTATTAAAAACAAGAAAGTGCTAATTTCATTTTTACATCTCTTACATGAGTAATAGGCTTTTAGTTTTCTTTTTCCAATATGGCCTTCCTTCTGTAAACTGCTTCTGTGCTTCAGTAGGTAACTAGATTTTAACAATGAGAGTACCTGGCATGGGAAAGAGACCTCTGTTATTCTTTTTCCTCTACTGTCATGTAATACTGCTTTGAGCTGCCTGGAAGCTTCTGCTTTCCAGCTCACATGTGCTTGTTTTCCAGCAGTAGATTAAGTGAAACCTACATCAGTTAAAAAAAAAAATGTTTAGGGATTATGTCTGTTTGGTAAACCTATAATCTTTCTCTAATCTTTTCAGCCATTAACACTTTTTATATTCCCCAAATATCACAACAGTATCATGTTTTAAGAAAATTTTACTTAGAATTCTGTTTTAATATTAAAATGACACTTTGTTATTGTACTGTTAACTCCTTATGTTACTAAGGATAGTATACCGTGCATGGTCTCAGAAGACACAGTAAATTCAGTCACAGTTTAGCAATGAAGAAATCCCCTAGAGCAACATCAAAAAATATTTGGCTAACTTGGGAGATTAAGACTTGCAGGTTTTCTAAAAACCCTTTCTTTAAAGCTGCTTTCTGTACAGTTACTTTCAGCCTGCATTATGCCTCAGTTCCCAATAGGTAACGTAAACATGATATTTACCTACCTCAAGGGAACTTTGGGGGATTAAATGAATGAATGGATGTGATAAGTTTGAATTTGTAGTAAAAATGATTAAATGTTAGGCAGGTATCTGCTTGATTTACTTGACTTACAGATCCCAGACTGAAGGCTGACATGTTAAAAAAACTGCATTTTGACTTATAAACCGAAAAACCCAATAACAATTTATTATTACTAGGGAATAAATATGGAACACCCTGGAATCACTTGTATGGTTATTTTCCAGCTGTCATCACACTTAAATTATTTTTAATGATGCAGATATATATCACACTTGGCTGCTTCCCCCCAGGACCCTGTACAGCCTAGATTAAATTATAACTATTCACTATGAATGCATCTGGAACAAGAAATGCATTCCATTTAATCAATGCACATGCAAATAGCCTTCCCATCCGTAAGGAGAAAATGAGTCAGAGGCAATGGAAGATTAGCATTCTCATACTTTTATTTATACTGGAGCAGATTGTCATTTTCAGGCTAGAAGAAATGTTCCCAAAGAATGATGCACAGGACTTTCAATTCCTAGACCTCCATAGGCAGTACAATACCAACCCAACCACTGCAGCTGTAGGGGTCTGTTTCACAGCACAGGTGACCTGCCCTAGGGGAAGGCACAAAGTTGTTGCATCTGGCTGCCAACTGCTCCTCCACCACACCGATGTCGACACTGCTTCTAAAGTAGCTCCTTATTTTTGTTGATCATGGTTTAAAGCAAATGGGCACCAATTTCAGTTTTCCTCAAAATGCTGAGCTGTAAACAGAGATGACTCAGGTACTGTTTCCAGATCTGTTCCATCATCAGAACACTAGAAGTCATCTTACAAACTCTCCTAAAATCAGTCAGCCCTTATGGGGAGGCACAGCTCTTACATAAACCTAGGATTCAAGCCTTTGGGGAACACATTTCCTTAGAAGATCTATTGGGTACGATATTTCAGATGTCCATTTAGTTGCCAGACTTAATCAAGAAAGAGGACTTTGCCAAACTATAGGTATTCTTCACTGGTTATTGGCAACAGAGTGATCCATTAGCTCTTCCATTTGTTTATATTGATAGTATTTTTGATCAAGGTCCAGCATATTATTTTAAATGGAAAGTGATGGATTCATCCCTTAGCACCAAGTCAAGATGTAGCCCAGTGTTGAAATTTGCAATTCATTTGTTGTCTGCACTGCACTGCAGTCTTCTCTTAGATCTTATTAAGAATCCAATGACAGCAGGATGTGTACTAATATATACATATAACAGGGTAGAGCAATTTAGCTGAAACAACAGACAAAATACTGATTAAATTGGCTGTGCCCTCCCTTAAGGCTTTGATTTCCTAAAGGTGCAGCACGCAACTACATGTAACTTACAGCAAAACTTGCTTTGCATTCCCAGAAGATTGCTCCCAGCATTTTGTGGTGCTCATATGCCCATGGAGCATTTTTGTACTGATGCAGTGCAACCAGCAGTGCAAACCCTGACACCAGTACAAGCAAGCAGCCCAAGGGGAATGTAGGCTTCAAGTGCTACTCTATTAGAGATGGGTTTGCAGAATTGTAACTACTGAAGACTGCTTCAAATTACAATGCATTCCCATTTCCTCTCCTGATGACACTGGAAGAGAAACTGGTACATACTTTTTGATAAGGTGGAAGTTAATGGAAAATGTTGATCTGTCAAAACCAAAAGTTTGCACTGAGACTTTTTAGTTTTCAACCAAGTTTAAACTAATTCAAAGATTAAATGCCTGATGAGAAATAAAGGAAGACCAAGGGATACAAGCAAAAAAAGATCCTACCTTTCTCTCCCTCTCT